TGATTTTGTCCATGGGGGACTGATTGGATGGTTGTGGTTTGCTATTGGCCAATCTTGTGTGAGTGACAGGTTGTCCCGCCCTCACGCGTCTTCAGAGAAGAGAAGAGATGTTGCTGCAAGAGAGAGGGGAAGTGTGAGGCAACTGCTATGAAGTAAAGGTTGAGGATCCAAATGCAGTTTTATTAGGGCAATCCAGAATCATAATCCATAAAACAGACAATAGGTCAAAACCACAAGGCAAACAATCCAGAGTCCAAAGCACAGGCTAACAGGAAAACAGGCAGAAGATCAAGACCATAATATAAGAAGCAGAGTAAAGCGCTCAGAATTGCAGTGTAACACAGACAAGACTGAGTGAGTGAAAACAGTGTCGTATCTTTTCTTCCTTAACAAGCAGTAATGACCACTGACGACTTGAATTAAATAAAACGAACTGTTTACTGAAGTTAATGAACAGGATTACACATTGATACAGCGCACAAACATGGAGTCATTTTTCTTTCTCTCTTCTCTGTCTCTCTAGTTCTATCCGCGCGCTCAGCCCCCTAAGCATTTTGGGTAAACTTTTCTTAAAGCTGAACAACCTTATAAATGACAACACTGTTTCTGGTATTATTAAAGATAATTATTTAAACATTTCTATTCTAATTAATTCACAACAAACAGAGCTTATAAAGGCAAACAGTGCCTTAGTGCCAATTGGGCATCGTTTAAATGCCACGGCCTACCTGAGCATTGTTTCTGACCATGTCCATCCCTTTATGGCCACCATGTACCCATCCTCTGATGGCTACTTCCACCATGTCACAAAGCTCTAATCATTTCAAATTGGTTTCTTGAACATGACAATGAGTTCACTGTACTAAAATGGCCTCCACAGTCACCAGATCTCAACCCAATAGAGCATCTTTGGGATGTGGTGGAACGGGAGATTCGCATCATGGATGTGCAGCCGACAAATCTGCGGCAACTGTGTGATGCCATCATGTCAATATGGACCAAACTCCCTGAGGAATGCTTCCAGCACCTTGTTGAATCTATGCCACGAAGAATTGAGGCAGTTCTGAAGGCAAAAGGGGGTCCAACCCGTTACTAACATGGGGTACCTAATAAAGTGGCCGGTGAGTGTATATATATCTTGGCCAGGTCTCCCTTGCAAAAGAGATTTTTAATCTCAATGGGTTTTTTCCTGGTTAAATAAAGAAAAAAAATATATATATATATATATATATATACTGCACAGTGTAGTTTGATTAAAGAATGAATAAACTACTTTTTAGTGAATAAAAAGATTCAGCGCCATCAGTATTGTTCAACTCTTGAACAAATGACTCTTATGAGCCTTTTTTTATGAATCAAACACATACGGCAAAATAGTTGTCCCTTTCCCGATCTAATGAGTTGATTCTTTTTAGTGAATCCAACAGCCTACAGCTAACTGTGAGTCTTAAAGTCAGCATGAAACAAAATTTGCGATGTTTTTTTGTGATGTGTTTTTTTCCTCCCTATTGTGATGCAGATCCAAGTGGCTTCTCGAACAAGAAAAAATGTAGTATAGGACTTGATTTTGTCCATGGGGGACTGATTGGATGGTTGTGGTTTGCTATTGGCCAATCTTGTGTGAGTGACAGGTTGTCCCGCCCTCACGCGTCTTCAGAGAAGAGAAGAGATGTTGCTGCAAGAGAGAGGGGAAGTGTGAGGCAACTGCTATGAAGTAAAGGTTGAGGATCCAAATGCAGTTTTATTAGGGCAATCCAGAATCATAATCCATAAAACAGACAATAGGTCAAAACCACAAGGCAAACAATCCAGAGTCCAAAGCACAGGCTAACAGGAAAACAGGCAGAAGATCAAGACCATAATATAAGAAGCAGAGTAAAGCGCTCAGAATTGCAGTGTAACACAGACAAGACTGAGTGAGTGAAAACAGTGTCGTATCTTTTCTTCCTTAACAAGCAGTAATGACCACTGACGACTTGAATTAAATAAAACGAACTGTTTACTGAAGTTAATGAACAGGATTACACATTGATACAGCGCACAAACATGGAGTCATTTTTCTTTCTCTCTTCTCTGTCTCTCTAGTTCTATCCGCGCGCTCAGCCCCCTAAGCATTTTGGGTAAACTTTTCTTAAAGCTGAACAACCTTATAAATGACAACACTGTTTCTGGTATTATTAAAGATAATTATTTAAACATTTCTATTCTAATTAATTCACAACAAACAGAGCTTATAAAGGCAAACACAAATGAGGGAATGACGGACAGGTGGCAGTAATCAGAACATGATCAGTCCAGGCAATGGGTTATGGGAAATGCAGGTTATATAGCGGTTCCCTCTGGTGGCTATCATAGGCATTCTTGCTCATTGGCAAGTTTTACTTGCACTTAAAGGAACACGCCACCATTTTTTGAAATAGGGGTTATTCAATGTCTCCCAGATAGGTGGGCAAATGCATTTTTGTCTCAGTGCATGCATTGTCTTAGTTTGGCAGCGCTGCCGCTAGCTTAGCTTAGCATAATGAATGGAATCCTTTTGTTGCCGGATAGCATGTTGTGAGTAAAAGTGATAAATAAAAAAATAAAAATATATAAATAAAAAAACTTGTGGCCTGCGTATTCACAACGGGTTCAAATAGCAATGCAGATTAAGATTAGGCGATTTCCTAGGCAGAGATTGACTTGGGACTATATTGGGGTAAAGCACTGCTACTTGGGCGCAGAGATATCACGCAACAACTGAAATCCCCCAACTTCCATCAACATACCGGCGTGACCGGCACCGAATATCTTCGATATCTCTGCGCCCAAGTAGCAGTGCTTCGATCACTTTTACTCACGACATGCTATCCGGCAACAAAGGATTCCATTCATTATGCTAAGCTAAGCTAGCGGCGGCGCTGCCAAACTAAGACAATGCATGCACTGAGACAAAAATGCGTTTGCCCACCTATCTAAATGTAGGGGAGACGTTGAATAACCCCTATTTCAAAAAACGGTGGCGTGTTCCTTTAATACTATCAAATTAACTAGCATACAGACCAATAGGTATTTAACAGTAGAACTCTTCCTTTCATTAGCTGGAATTCATTAGAACAGATACAAATTACAGCCCTGTCCACCTTCCTAACTATTATTAGTTTGAGAAAGCTAGAATACTTTTAAATAAAGTGAAAATTTGTGACACAAGATGAGCACAGACTCTTGCCATTGGCTGTGTTGCGTAAAACTTACGAAGGATCAATTTACACCCCTTGTCTCACCCGCCGTTTGATTCTGTGCGATTGATTGCTATACCTACAACAGGAATAGCAAGCATTTAACCTAACCTCGTGTGCCTGCCCACTCTAATGAGCAGTCAGCGCTGACAGCCCCAGCCCTGCGGACCGCTGATCCTCAGCAGGAACACACACAAAAGCACGGCCACTCTGTAGGTAATGCACCAGATCACCAGCGTCTCTCTACAGATGGATGCCCACTCAGTGTATGCGTGCTTTGTGAGTGCTGCAGAGAGCTAGGCACCTTCAGCCTCCACAATGCATCCATCCTGTACCAGACACTTAGGCAGCAGCCCACAGCTCCCTCCTGCCCTCTTCTTCAAGTACAGCCCCCCAGAGAGTCTCGGCTACAAAGTATGAAGAATGGCTGTCAATCGTATACCTCAAAAGATTTACCAACCTTAAATTGTGACTGAGTGCATTTGGAGGATGTGGTGGATTGGTGCTGTTCCCAAGAGTGCAGAAAGTCAATATGAAATGATGTTTCTCATTCTTTTCCCTATCCACTCCCTGTATGATTACAGCAAGAAAATGTAAAATTGCATTTTACAGTAGTGTGTGTGGACAAGGGATTGGAATTGCTAAGGAATTTAGTGATTATAGTTCTGTTTTCTGTTAACGATTCTGGTTCAATAACAGTTCCACTTTGAGGAAATCAAATCAAAAACAATTCTTATTACACCCCCTTATGTTGCAAAATTATGAGACCCTCGAAATATAGGGTATAGTCTATGGCAGGATAGCTAACAGAGATACATTGAAAATAATTCTTTAAAAAAAAATTGTTTGTACAGATTTTTAATGGCATTTACTGAAATCAATAATTGGTCCTAACTACATATTAAATTTGTCCATTCATTCACCCATGTGTATCTTTAATTGAACAATTGAATCATATGAATCGGTCAATCTAGGTGCACTGATGACAGTGGTGTCACGGGACTGAAGTACAACTACTGATCTGAGTCAGATTAACTTTATAAACACTGAGTCATAAGTATTCATAATCGTTTGTTCGAGAGTTGGACTGGACTTTTACCAGTTGTATTTTGATTCACTACAAAGAACCAGCTAAGCCATTTATTCAGGAGTTGTTTTATTCATATAGGCTACATTATAACGAACTACATCATTCTTTCAGTATTTGGACTTGCGCTATAGCACTAAAATTACATAAATGAGTCCATTAAAATAAGTCTTGTAAGTGTCCATTTTTGATACTGCGCTGTTTTTGATTCACTAAAAAGAACTATGTCTTATTCAGAGTCAATTCGCGAAATCGGGAGATTTGTGTAGTAGTTATGGATTTCTTTAGATGTGTCTAGTAGTGGTAAAGCGGGGTGAGAATGCGTTGTGCGTACCGCACCGCTCTACTAATGCCCGTTCGAAAATCTTCAGCTGAACCGAATGACATAAAAAATAAACCGGCTCGGGTATTATTATTTTTCAAATGTGTTCCTACACAACAGGTATTGTGGTAGCTATACTTTGCAAGATAGTAAATAGTTATATTTCTGCCTCGACCAGAAGCCTAAATAATTTAGTGTTTGCCATAGGTTTATTCTACATTGTCTACTCTATTTTGCTCCACGTGTTGCTTTAGAATTACAAATCGGAAAATAAGTCGCAATTTTTAAGTGCTTTCTGCGTACTGTGATGTGTTAAAATCTCAGATCAGTTCTCTCACGTGGCACACAGCCCTCTTCCCTTAAGTGTCGAACCCACACCATTTATAGCCTCGCAGTAACCTACAATCTTATAATGAGATTTAACTTTGCCTCAACTGGACTTGTAGATGAGCAGTGCTCTAGTCCCGCTCCTCAACTCAACTCAACTCAACTCAACTATAAATGACTGGAAATAGTTATAAGGCGCTATCGCTCGCGTTATGACAGACAAAACAACCCTGCCATGTCTCTGTCTGTGCGGAATACATAAAGGCTCTGTCTTGAATTAATCACTCGCTCTTTAATGGATCTTTGAGGATAGCGCTTGACGCAGTGAGGAGCTGCAGCTCTTTGTATTCCGAGGCCAAGAGGAACCTTGTGTGTGTGTTTTTTTGTTTGTTTGCTGTTTGCAGTTTTTTTTTTTGTGCCCCCGTCCGATATCTACTGGCTCTTAGAAAATGTCAAGGGGATACATGGTGACATAGGGACCCCGGTTTGGTTACGGAGAGACTCTCGCTTCGCTCTGCGAAAAAGGTGAGTGAGAAATGCTTTAGAATGTCGCATCTACGTCGCTTCTAACGTTGGGTTTGTTGGCCGAGAAATGAAACGAGTGCAAGTGTAGGCTGAGACATGTAAGTTATACGTGTGGCTTTTGTACACCGGCGTATTTGCAACAAATGCCTCGGTGTGACTTGTCTAACTTATAAATGCATCGTCGAATGTGTTGAGTTTGACAGCGCGCCTTAACAGACTCGAAATGAACATGAATTCGCTTCGTTTTGCACTAAGGCGTGATTGTATATCGACGTTCAAATGTGCACGCGAGTTGTGAGCGCGTTTCTTTTGGAGTCATTTAGTATTCTGCATGGAATAATTTGACACATACTGACATGATGAGGTCATATATGGAATTCTAAGGTAAATTAACCAAGGAAACACTATGTTAGTTAATGGGTTGTTGAACTCTAAAGCGTCTCACTTGGAGATGTTACAGGACTGAATATCTCGTGCTTTCGCTAACATCTCCAGAATGTCGCCAAATGTTTCAGGACCTTGGACAGCAGATATGTTTAGTTTGCCGCTAGAGTTCGCCTTTAGCCATAAAAATGACAACTGATGGTCCCTTTCAGCCCTCAGTCGCTATTTTATTGAATCGCGTAAGTGCGATTTGTACATGGCAAATACGCTTATCGTAGCTAATCCTATCTGTTTACACCATCACAGCTCCGAAAGTTTCCCAGTCTAGTAGTGTTCATCTATTTCCAGAATGGTTATAACCATGAAAGAGTGCTGCTTAGGCTATATCTAAAATACAATTGGTTTACCAGTTGTGTGTAGAGTTGCTGTTGAGTGAAAAAGCCGTGCATGAGTTTCTCTCTGAGGACTGCACGTTAAGATTGCTAAATTAAGAAATCATTTGAAGCTAGTAGTCTAATAAATTATTCAGAGACATTATAATTGAGTTGAGATTGAATATATGACGCAGACATACTTTGGAGTAAGTCAGAATTCAAAGAATTATATGGAGTAGATTCTGTGATTTAATAAAACTTTGAGATCAAGAAAAAAAAAAACACTTTACAAACATACTCTGTTTAAAAAAAGTGCTGAAGGGGTTTAAAAGAAAAGACATGAACAATGACCAAACCTAATCTGTTTTATAGGACTGTATACTGAGGAGTATCAGTCCATATGCCTAGTTATCTGTGAATTGTAAGTGTCGCATGCTTTAAACTGTGAAATATGTGCATCCAATTGGATATGCGTTTTATTCACCTTGGCTGACATAACTGTACAGTTACATGAACTTTGAGACTCACTCTCAGAAATATTCATATTAGGTCACCGAGTAACACAGTTCATAATATAAGAAAAGAGCTTAGTCCGGCATGCTACTGTCAGAGCAGTGTATTGTAAGAACTCGATCAGCAAACAGAGCAACGGCATCTCAGCTTGTAAGTAAAGCACCTTTCCCCTTTAAAAGACGCAAATGCATTTAGCAGGACAAACATCCACATTTGGCAGGCCAAAACTTTTGTTAAATTAAAGATTTTGTATTTTGAGATAAATGACTCTCCGAGTTCTCAAAACCCAAATATTAGGATTTTAATAGCTTTTTCAAATGTAAAGTGCAAATGAACTAAATAATTTTGGTCTTTCAGAGCTGTTTTATTTTGACTATAACAGGTTGCATATCCTGCAAAGTATGTTGTAGCCTAAAATAATCAATGTTTTTCAACTGAAGGAGGCTTTTTAAACCAGGGAACCCTTATCCAGATTTTGAGCCAGAAAAAAATTTTTTTTTCTTGTAACAATATATATATATATATATATTATAACTGTCATTAAGAAAAAAATACTTAAGTTAGAAAGTTAGAAATAGTCAATAGCTCTAAATGCCATGGACATGTAAGTTTTATATGTGTCAAATATCTTACCTAAAGACCGTCTGGAGTACATTCAGGGTACCCAATTGAAAACCCTGTGTCGGAATGATTATTATTATTATTATTATTATTTTGGATCTTAGTGCATGTTGGTATCATTGCTGAAATATCATTGACTACAACATAGATGACCGATGGTGAATCGCACTCTTTAGGCTACATCAGACACACTGAGAATCTCCACCCTCACTTTAATTCATTGGTAAAGGGCAAATCTAAATCATTCTGGATCTAAAAATCAAATCTACATAAGTCGTCAGGAGGAATTCCTCAAGAGCGGCGCCTAACCATAACATAACGTTCAACAATGAGTTGCGTTGTTCAAAAAAACAAAAACATAATTTGCTAGATGTGTGCATCTGCCCCCCCCCCCCACACACACTCTCCATCTCTCTCTCTCTCTCTCTCTCTCTCTCCCTCCATCTCTCTTATCTTGATTATGCAGCTTGAAGATTGAGTCAGCTGTTTTGTATGCAAGGTGTCTGAGCCAGGCTCTTTGTGGAGGAGAGAGCAATCGTGCCGCGGATACAGAGAAAGAGAGAGAGAGAGAGAGATGGATAGACAGACAGATAGACAGAGTGAGCGGAAGATGGCAAGATGGGAGTGAAAAAACGGTATGTCTATATGTGCAGTGTTGGATTAGCACTCTCATATTAATATCATATTATCTAGCTTTATAAAAAGCATCCTTTATGCCTGCAGCACTCACATATGGCATAACGAATGATAAATTATGTAGCCACCCCAATGTGCTCACTTAATACATAGAGTCATAAAACACAAGTGCAATTGTTGGTGATATGTGAGGTAGAAGGCTTTTACAGCCCCACTGAGTGTTGATAATGGATAAAGACAGTTCTGAACCGATCATTCTGAGAGATGAGCGCCGTGATCCAGAGTACAGAGGAGAATAAAAGAGAATATTTACATAGGTGAGGCAGAAGCAGACATTTATAGCAATCAAAACTATGAGATATTTGAAATTATAGCTTCATTATTATAATGTCGGTTTGTTTCTGTGTCTATTAGCTGCGGTACAAATGGAGTATTGTAAGTTAATAAAATAACTACTGAAATAGTTCCCTTGCTTTGGCTGTTAAGATGTTAATAACTAGAATATAACAAGTATCATAACTCTTAATCAGAACTGTTTCACTTTTTCAAGTTTGGGGTTGGAAAGATTTTATGTTATTTAAAAAGTCCCTTATGCTCACCAGTGCTGCATTTATTTGATCAAAAATACAGTTAAAATAGTAATATTGTGAAATATTATTACTTAAAAAAAATGTTTTCTTTGTTAATATATAACATTTAATATATTCCTGTAAAGCTGAATTTCCAATGGCTATTACTCCAGTGTCACATGATTCATCATTCTAATATGCTGATTTGCGGCTCAAGAAACATTCATTATTATCAATGTGAAAACAGTTGCGGTGCTTAATATTTTTGTGCAATCCAGCATCATACATTTTTTTTCATGATTCTTTGATGAATAGAACGTTTAAAAGAACAGTATTTATTTGAAATAGAAATCTTTTGTATTATTATAAAACTATCCACTGTCACTTTTTATCACTTTAATGTATCATTGCTGAATAAAAGTGTATATAATATATATATACAGATATAGTGATATATATATATATATATACTAGATCTCCTACACTGCTGATGTTGATTATTGCTGCTGCTGCAGAGCATAAATGGACTTGCTACTTTTAATAGATACACGGATTGTGAGCATGTAATATATGCTGCTGCTGCATAAATAAACACATAAATCCCATAGTAGATCTAGGCAGGTGGAGCTGGGGGAGGTGGAGGGTTTCAGATGACCCCTGAAACCGCGCTACAAGACTAGCTTACGGCAAACAACGAACCAGACTATATAAAAGTTGAGCAAGCGATCTCATTGGCTGCAGATGAATTATTCCAGATTACTTTAAAGGGTTAGTTCGCCCATTTAAGACATGAAGTTGTATGCAATCCTTACCAGCACTACAGTGCATACACACTGACCCACTCTGTTGTCACCTCCCTGGTCAGAGTTCTGGCCGCTGGAAGTTTTTCAATAAAGTACTCCGGGTTATTTTCCGGGGTCACAAAACTGTGCGTTTTTACGTGAAAAAATGATTTGCGTTTCAAAGCTTGATTAATTTACCACACAAAAAACACGCCGGTCAAAATTCATACCTCAGTTTTAATCGGCACTATTTTCTATCCATTTCTATCAATCCGCGCTGCTGTCGACGTCAACAGTGCGCACGTTCCGATCAGCTGTTGATAGCGCGACTCGCTGACAACATGTCTGACTACGAAACTTCTGATGATGAAACCAATTTTAGCACAATGTCAGACGGATCAGATGATGAAAGTAATTTTAGCACAACGACAATGTTATTGATTGCAACACAAAACCTCAATTGTGTGTGTGTTCAATCAAATAGTTTTCTCAGCAAATTGTACCAATATCCCTATATACTGTTTTTATATTAGAATATATATATTTTATATTCACGTGTTTTATAATGGAGTCTAAACATCAGCTTGTTTACCGTACAGTTTAGATATGGGATCATAAAGTTAGTAAATAGAGCTTACCCGTGGTACTGGTACAGCAAAACTCTTTAATTTTCCTTTTCCTCCTTGGTTGGGGATGTAATCGTCTTCGCTGAAGTGAGCACCACACACACGAAAATCCTTTATTCTGGATATTTTAGCTCCCGCAGAGTAGCCGATAGCAACCAGCCAAATCAACAACACGCGCTTGCACCCCCTGCTGGTGAGATCGACTAACAGCAGATGGAGATTATGCTCGGTAAGCTGTCTCATAGTTATATTCGAAACAGGAATACGATGGAATCTGAACTTTGATCGCGGCACATCCTTGTGGTCACAGCCTGGGAATTTACAAGTTCGCACCATTGTTAATTTAATACTTTTTACGTCGTTGTAAATCATTTGTGTAAACACTATGGAACAGCTGATCGGAACGTGCGCACTGTTGACGTTGACAGCAGCGCGGATTGATAGAAATGGATAGAAAATAGTGCAGATTAAAACTGAGGTACATGAATTTTGACC